GAATACTTCTCTTTTTGATAATAAAATAATAGACTTGTGGGTAATAGTAATTTTTTTCCTACATGAATGATGTCTTGCTTTGTCACATCAATATATATATTATACCATTTTCACATTTTAGATTATTATTAACTTGACTGACTAAATATTGTCATTTTTGAATAAGCTTATTTACTTTTAACTAATATAAAGTCTTTACATCTAACTCAACAGAAAGATTCTGTAGAATAATGCTGTTATGCCCAATGATAAATTAATCTCCAAAATAATATAATATTCCTATTTGTGCACAATACCTATTTCCTTATTTACCATGATTTCTATGACAAATATTTTGTATCTTGCAATCCTCTTAACATTAGAAATGATGCTAAAATAATGAGCTAGAGTTTTTAAAAAGTTAGTCTTGCACATTAGTGATGACCATGAAAATTGTAATTTTAAAGTTGTCATAATTACTTTAAATTATTTGTTATATACAAATATGTATATATGCTATATTAATTATTCTAAAATGTTTCATTTTTAATGTTTTCTAGTATATTTTATCATGTATTTATACTTCAGTTATGCAGTTAACGCCCAGAAAATCTGTAGATATTCAAGATATTTTAACAAAAATAAAATGTTTCTGCTGGGTTTTTTTTTTTTTTTTTTTTTTTTTTTTGAGACAGGGTCTCACTCTGTCACCCAGACTGGAGCGCAATGGTATGATCACAGCTCACTGCAGCCTCGACCTTCTGAGTTCAAGCATTCCTCCCACTTTAGCCTCCTGAACAACTAGGACTATAAGTGTTTGCCACCACACCCGCTAGTTTTTTTTGTATTTTTTGTAGATACAGGGTTTCACTATGTTGCCCAGTCTGGTCTCAAATGCCTAAGCTCAAGCCATCTGTCTGCCTCAGCATCTGAAAGTGCTGGGATTACAGACATGAGCCACTGTGTCTGGCACTTCTGCTATTCATCACCTTATTCTATACAGTATGGATATAGAGAAGTCATTTCTTGCCCCAAACCTGGGACTATACTTGTCCTTCAGAGATATATCCAATTTTTTTAAATTTAAGATGTCAGCTTTATAAAGGAAAAGAATAATTCCTAAGTAGCTTTACTTTTTACAAGTTTACTTTTCAAGAAAACCTATTACATTTACTTATGACATCTTTCCAATATAAACATGAAATAAGTCTGATTTAATACAGATTAGGTTCTGAGTTACATATTGGGAAAATTTTCATTGATTTCTGAGTTTTAGTATTCTTAGTATTTATCATACCTGTAGAAATACTCTACATTGAGCTTACTTTGATCTGGAGTTGTATCATTGTGAAAGATATGGATGGATGGATGGATAGATGGATGGATGGATGGATGGATGGATGGATGGATGGCAATAACATTGGATTATAGACAAGAGTGCCCACTGACCTCTTCTTCCCTAATAGAGGGAAATCCCTTGCAAGACAGTCCCTTGCATACAATCCCTTGCATACAAATCCCTTGTCCTTTCATTGAATTAGGAAACCTAAAGTACATCGCAAAACTGATAAAATAGGTAGGAAGTTGCATCAAATACTTGGAAATTTTTAAAAATATTTTATGAGCAACTATGTTGACCTGAAAAAATGATTCAAAACTGACAACTTCGCTGAATGATTATAAAATTATTTTTCCCTTAGAATGACTGAAAATAAATACTAAATCACATTCTTTCAGTTTTAGTTTTTCTTATGCATAAAGATTGCTATTTAAGACAAAAGTCTTCTAAATTGTTTTCTTTATTGTGGCCTATTGTCAGTTCATCCTCATCTCAAAATCTGCATATGCTAATAATGTGCTTTTAAGACTGGGTTGTTAACAGTAGTATGTATTGTTATCACATTGTTAGTCAACATAAATTAGTGGAGGAGCTGATGCATCCTTTGTGAATGCATGCAGTTTAGAATAACAGCCATTAGATAATGATGGACAGTAGCCTAGATCAATTCAAGTGCAAAAAAAATTAACTATAAATAGAGATCAGAAAATGTAAACTATTCAAAAAGATGTAACAGTGATAGATATTAAATCACTTTTTAAAAGACAATGGAATTATTTACATAAGAAAGATTTAAATTTACAGGTGAGGGGGCCCTAGCTTTTTCAGTGGCTTATCCTTTGGTAATCTGATAAAACCATGGCCACTGTTTTTGGAATAATATTTTATATGCATAACATAAACTAAGGTAAATAAAATGGTTACAGAAGAAACGACTTATATTGAAATAAAGACTCCAAGTTAAGAACCCCAAGTGGGCCCTAAAATATTTTAAGCCTTGCAAGTGTTTATTATTTCCCACTTTTCAGTTGCTGCTATTCAAAATTAATTATATATTCTCATCTTTAAATTAAAACAAATTCAGAATTTTGGTGGGAGTTTGTGAGTGTTATATCTCAATCCCTTTAAGGGGCCTGATATAAGACTGGGTAATTTAGGCATTACTACTTTAAATTTTCATAGCAGTAACATTGTGTCTAAGCTAGTCAGACCTATTTTTATCCAATGTGGGAGCAGGAGCCTGTGTCAGCCTTCTCTTGTGTGCTGTCAAAGTTTAAAATACAGTAGCTTTCCATTCCCCTTAACTGTGTTGGGACATTTGGGGAAATTTCTACCTTCTACTGTGGTTCTTTTCATTTTTCATTTATTAACCTATTTTCATTTCACACTATGGTATTTATTTAATATATACTTTGTATTTATGGACAAAACTATATAAGTAAAATGTAAAAGATGGGTTAATTTTCAAACAACTTTTTTATAAAGAGACATTTTTCGTAAGGGCTACTTCCTAAGGAGTGACCTCTGTTTTATAAATAATGGTCTCCTTTTGAGGACATAGGACATAGCAACACATTTAAAATAATTCTCTGGTTTTCACTCATTATCATATTTTTCAATTATTAAAAATGATGCTTCACAAAGAAGTGAAACTGCATATCCTAACATTTACTCCACTTTCCACTTGGAAAAATTTCTTGATGGAATCAGAATAAATTAAATTATATATAAACACATGAAATATTAGTCTAATTTTCTGTTAGGGTAATTGTAGCTATTTCCCAAAGTTTTGTTATATAATAAGATGTTTATTATTAATGTAAGATAAATCTTTAAAATAAATGTAAAGATGGATACTCTTAAAAAATAGGTTTTAAGCAATTTAAGAAATAATATATAAAGAGATATACCTTTTGTTTCTGTTTATTATGATGAAGATATATAAAGATGTTAGACTAAAAACATGTAGCAAACTACTGAAGACACTTATTTCTAAAGAAAAGTGTTCTTTAATGAGAACACTTGGGCACAGGAGGGGGAACATATGGGGTCGTGGTGGGGGGAGGGATAGCATTAGGAGATACACCTAATGTAAATGATGAGTTAATGGGTGCAGCACACCAACATGGCACATGTATACACATGTAACAAACCTGCATGTTGTGCACATGTACCCTAGAACATAAAGTATAATAAAAAAAAAGGTGTTCTTTTAAAATTGTTTTTCAGAAACAAAAAGACAGCTATAATATTTACACTGTGAAGTTACCTTTTCATTTCTCTTGCCATGTAACTGTTACTAATAATTAAATATTTTTTATATATTTACATTTAATGTCAGTTATTTTGACATATTCTGGATGCACTTATATGAAAATACTGAACTTAGATAGTAAATCACATGATAGTATATGGATTTAAAAGTATTTAAAAATGCTCTGACTTATATGTTACCCTATGACTTTAAAATGTTAAATAATCACAAGATATGGTGTAGAATAAAGCCAATATTCACTTTCTAAAGTCACCTAATCTAATATCAACTAGTACACAATTATTTGCCATATAATTCATGACATTTGGGAAATTATGTCTTTTTTTTCTTTTTTTTTTAAATTACTTGCATTTTTCATTATCCAAAATAAGGTTGAGATAACTTATAGGTAAAGTGGATGTCATTGAAACGTTAGCTTTGAGGGAGACTAATGCTTTCTTGACTGTCGGTATTATATAAGCATTTCCATTTTTGTGCTTACAACTGGATGGGGAGGAATAATTTTATTTGAAATATACTTTGGCATGTTTTACTTTTGAATTCTGGAGCCAAAGCTAGTGTTTTTAAAGTCCTCTCCCAAATTGTGGGGCTGGTATTAGAAAACATTTATTGATCATGTTAGATGTAAAAGTATTATGCTAGGTTCCAGGGATAGAAAGGTCAACAATGAGAGGTTGCTTAAATTTAAGGATACTTCCTTCAACAAGGATTAAGTTTTAGTATTAGATTTATTTGTGGTCAAAGAGATCATGTTGTTTCAGAATTATTGTTTCAGTTAATACCCATTCTGAATTGAATCAGTTGGCATAGCTAAAGTGCACCGAGATAGACAACCAGTTAACCAGTTTTCTACAGGGTAATTTTTCTTGTGGATCGGGTTTAAATATGGCTACAGACTTCAAAGTCACTCTATTTTCTTATAACCTCATTTTGATTCTTCTGTTTAAATGTTCAGGTGTATAGTGTTTTCTGAAAGCCTTTTTATATCTTAGTTGGTATAGTACTAAACAGCTTCAGGTGCTACAGAATTAATGCTTATATGGTTTTCTTCACTCTTGAAAATGTTAGGAAAAGTCATTGAATTCTTTAAAATAGAATAATTCACATATTTCACGTATTCCATTTAGGGAATTCATTTTGGAAAGCAAGCAGTTTTGTTTGTTGTTTTTTTATGACTGAGCGACTATTATCTTTGCTGGAAATTATTTTGAAAGGCAGATTTGGTTTTTTAGAAATTCTTAAGAAGTTTCATTTGAAATTGCTCAGAATATGTTGGGGAAAAGAAAAATTTTTACATACTCCATAATTTTAAACAGTTACCTTTTTCAAAATCAGTTTGATGCATCATAACCAAATAGCAGAAGGGCACGAAAGATCAACTGAGCTGCTTTTTGACTAACGTTTCAGGGATTGTGAAGCAGCAGATAGACAGCCATATCACAGATCCAGATCAACAGAACAACGGCCTCTCCTTGAGCGGACCACCACCCGCTCCAGATCCACTGAACGTCCTGATACAAACCTCATGAGGTCGATGCCTTCATTAATGACTGGAAGATCTGCCCCTCCTTCACCTGCCTTATCGAGGTGAAAGATAAATCAATCAGACTAATTTCCCCTTTGCCCCACCAGCACACCATTTTATTTTCCCAGCAACTAAATGGTCTCTTCTATCATCTTTGGCTGATCACTAGTAATAATTGATACTAACCTTTCAATGTAAACACACTATTTATATTCAGTGGATATAATAGTGTGTGGCTACCATTGTAATTTGTTTATTAACTGTCCTGACTGCATTTGTTTTGTGATTTCTCATTAATCAGGAGTCCTGGGTAAATTCCGTCATTAACTGTCATGTTCCTCTCCTACAGAATGAGAAACTATTTGTGTCCATTACACATCACTTTTCAAATCATCATAATGATTACAAATAAAACTAGATTTTTTAGTTTCTATCGATACTACTGTTATGTATTAACCAATATTTTCCTTAGTTAAATCTTGAATTGTTCAGGGTTTTCTTTGTAGTTTCATGAGATGTTTTCTAATAAAGGGATATTTAATATAAGCCTGAGTAAAAATCTCTGGATCAAGGGAGAAAGGTTAGTGTTGAAAGTTTGAAATCTGGTAGAAAGAAAAGTACAGTCTTTTCTTTCTTGATCTGCGAAATTGTCCTCTTGCTTTCAATGGATAGAGTACTAATTTACATTAATAATTCCATGGATTTTACTGTAGGGTTTTGTGTGCATGTATGTGTATGTATGCATATTACACCAAAAATAAACATCTTTTGCTATTTAATCATTCAGATATCCATATTTTGTCTAGTTTTCCTAACCTTTTAATCTGCAGCCAAACTTCTTTTTAAATTGTATTTATACAGCTATCATATGAACCAAATATAGGTATTAAAAATATGTAACTCATTATACTGAAAATTAATATTAATTGTGTGTCTTTAGGTCTCATCCTCGTACTGGGTCTGTCCAGACAAGCCCATCAAGTACTCCAGTGGCAGGACGAAGGGGCCGACAGCTTCCACAGCTTCCACCAAAGGGAACATTGGATAGAAGTAAGTTTTATTTCTAATTATGTCGTTTAGGAAATACACATGGAAGCTAAGGTGAATCAAGATTTTCTTACTTTTGTGTTAGTTTTCTTCTTTTGTTAATTGTATGCCTTGTCTTATTTGATAATAGTTATATTTATAAATATTATGTATTTTTGCATAAAAATTTGTAATATTTCCAGGTAAAATAAGGTATCTTTATTGCTCTTGCACATTTTTAAATTTGAATAAATGCATCTTAAAAAGTAAACATAATAGTCTTAAATGAGCTGTTGGATAATATTTCTTTGCCACAACTAAGTTTATGTAATTGTTGATAGTTATATAAAGTTTATTAGTAACTAGCCAAATCAATTTTCACACACTGCAAAGGACTGGTTAGCTGATGCACAACAATGGTGATCCTTCTCAATACTGGAGAACAAGAAAAAGGTAATCATGAATATACAATGAAAGATGCATGTTGTACTGATGTTTTTATTAATTTTACATTTTTGCATAAAAAGCACTATTTGCTGACACACACATGAACATACTTCCCAAACTTCTATAAATTCTTGGATAAAGGACCTCTAAAAGCATGGATAACTGAATATAACGGTTTTTAAGATCATTTTTTCAATGATCCCTTTATTTAGTAACTGGATGTGTTTTGCAAATAATACATATATATTTAAATCATTTAACTTTTCTCTAGTAGATAATACATTCTGTGCCTTTGGAAATTTCTGTTGTTTTTAACCCCTGTGCTTTGGTTCCCTTTTTTTCCTTTTTTTTTCTTTTGTTTTTGTTTTGTTTTTTATTTTTATTTTGTTTCCCTAGACAATGGAGTCAAGGAGATAGAACCTTATGAAGGTCTGTACATAAAGGAGGGTTTGTTTTGTGCTAACAGCCTTTTTGGGGAGCTAGTAAGCAAAAATAAACCCAACTGCAATTGATGTCCCTTTGTTGTATAGACTTATATACAGTAAAATTATTTTGTTTTATGATATCTGACAAAGTATTCAACTTTTTTTTTTAACTTGGAAATTATACCAAGGAGTTAAATTTCTTTGATTGATCAAATAAGAATGCAAGGAGTTTAACTTCTTTTAAATGAGCAGATAAAATGTGCTCTTTCATAAAATTTTTATGTACCTTTTAACCAGAATACTAGATTTTGAGTAAGACTTTAACCAAAGATATCAATTGCAGTCTACGTTTACATCATTGAGGATGTACACATAGTTTAGTTATATTTATCATCATATATTTCATTTTTTATTTATGATGATGTTTTTAAGTATTAAATTTGGCTTTCTAGAAAATAAAGTTGTTGAATTAGATAGTGATTGTGGCTTGTGTTTCCAACATCATTTTTCATGTTGTAGCAAGACTTACATATAAGACTTACATATATCAGAGTTAAATATGATACAGTTTTATTATCAAACACTACATTATGACTCAGAAGAAAATACTGAATGGTGATATATGGAGTGTCATACATTTGCTAGATCAATACAAAATCATCTGCCTGTTATGGAAATCTGAAATTAACTTTGTATCTTTAAAAACTTGTTGACTGTTTACTGATGAATCTCTAGCACATAGAATAATGCCTGGCACATTGTAGACCGTCAATAAATCTTTGTTGAATAAATTCATGAAATATTTATTTAAAAAGGGAAAAGCTACCTCAAATAGTATACAAAGTACCACTACAATAATCTTGTCATTCTATATATGTTTATATTAAAATTCATATTTCTGTAAACTATTTGTAACAAATTTGTAAGTGTGCTGCATTTGAGCAGCAATACTTTTATACCCTTATATAACTTGTTGATATAAGTTGTGTTCTTGTTAACTGGATGATGGTCAACTTCTGTTTTGTCATTCTTTCTATTTCCAAGTACCATAATTTTGAACAATCCAGTGATATTGTGACTGATGGTCTATTATGCTGCCTGATAAAAAGACTTCACAGCATTTTTATAGTTCTTAATTATTTGCATAAAATTGGGGGCATAGAATTTTAAATCACTTTTCCTAAGGAAAGTTTAGTAATATTTATGTAACTTTTTTTCTCTTCAGAGTGTTTTTAAAGATGGAGTTTCTACATCATTTATTGGCATATAAACTCAGAAACTATCATTTGTGCACATTTTTAAAATTGAATTTTTAATGTCGTTTATAGCAATAGACTGTTGAAATACAAGTAGCTCTATTCTTTGTAATAGTGAGTATACTAGAAAACAGAGCCTGTTGGTGATGCTGAAAGTCAGGGTTGGTGAAGTTTCTGATGGGCTTCTCAGTAAAGATTCTCTTTACTATTGTTTTTGACCCTATAAAATTAATTAAAACCAAAATTTTCCTTTAAAGTCCCCAATTGTGATTTTTCCATTTTTTTAATTTCATAAAAGAAAGAGGAGCCAAAACCTCCCTTACCCTTTTTAGTATGAAATAAAAGGGGTTTTGTTTTATATAAAAGTATGGATGATTTTTTAAAGTGTTTTTATAAATGCTGATATGGAGACTTCAGTAGATTATGCAAACTTTTTTAGTTTTAAAGAAGATATAATATCTCTTTTAGAAATCTCAACTTCAGTTAATCTTCAGTAAGTAGCACAAAATAGACTTACCAGTTGATGGTCTAAATCAAATTATGTTTGGATTATCACCTAAAAAGTTAATTGTGAGAAGTTGTAATTTAATGGCATTATTTTAGAATTAAAGTATTGAAATATTTATTTTCAAATCCTTTTCGACAGCCAACGTATGACCGAGTCATACTTTAACTCTTTATGATTTTGATTATTTTATATTTTAGTCTTATGTATTTAGCCACTTATCTTTATTTAGAACCAGAGAAGTAAAATAAGAATAATATAGAAAGCACAATGTACTAAAAAACTATAAGGCATTGTTATTATTTTATTTTTCCCTTTTATGTACTGCCATTTTGTAAAATGTCATGTTCTCTTTTTCTAGAAGAAAAGTTATGTAACTTTTTTTAGTAATATACCAAGTTTATATATAAAGTATTTTGCCTACTTTACCCAGTTATCCACATATTACAAATATTTTAAAAGTCACAGTTTCTCTTTTACAAAGTCATCATAAAAGCAGACAATGTGACAATTAACCAGTAAATTTATTTACTTTTCTATAGCATGTCAGAAACTTATTAAAAGTAATCTATTGGGCCAGGTGCAGTGGCTCCTGTGGCTCACATCTGTAATCCCAGCACTTTGGGAGGCTGAGGCGGGTGGATCGCTTGAGCTCAGGAGTTCAAGACCAACCTGGGTAACGTGGTGAAACCCCATCGCTACAAAAAAATACAAAATTAGCCAGGCATGGTGGTGCACTCCCATAGTCCCAACTACTCAGGAGGCTGAGGTGGGAGGATCACTTGAGCCCAGGAGACGCAGGTTGCAGTGAGCTGTGATTGTGCCACTGCACTCCAGCCTGGGTGATAGTGAGACTCTGTTTCTAAATAAATAAATAAATAAATATTGGTGTATTTATCATTCTGAATAATTTAGAATTTTTTATTTGTTTAGTTTCTTTGAAGAGTAACAGATACACCTATTTGGTCTTATATTTTTCTTTACCTTTGCTTATGCAAGTACAGAAGTTAATGAAGAAACTGAGCATGTGGAAGAGCAGGGGGAAGAAAAGCAGGGAGAAGAGGTTAAGGCAGGTCTGTCTGACTGCGTATCTAAAATAAATAAGTGAATGTTTTCAAATATGACTTTTCAATTTTACATAAGACTTTAGGCTCCAAATTTATAACTGCACAATGAAGAATAGATTGTTTTTCAGCACTAACTTTAAGATAAATTACCTAATTTTATTAATGAATGGGTATTACTTAAGCTATCTAGGCAATTTGTCAGAATATGTAATTTACCCAACTGGCTAAATATTTTCCCTGATGTTTAAATCAAACTAGAATTATAGATAGTGCCCCTGACCAAGATATACACCTACCCTTTACCCAGCTTTACATTCGTTTATTCAAAAAAATTTAATGAGTACCTACTAGAAAACTATACTTTATCATGTGTTGTGGTGAGTAAAGGTTTGTTGAAGCTTTAGCACCTTCTCCCATGGATTTTGAATCTAGTAGAAGCAAATTATAAAGAAATATAGAGCAGAATATAAATTCCATTAAAACATTTATAGACCATGATCATTTTTTCCATTATATTTTTTTCCTAAAGTAAAGCAATTATAGGTTTCTCTTCTTCATCCCAGTTCAATATTACTCTAATATTTATTGTCAATCATAATTTCTCCCCATCTTTCTAAATGAAATGCATACCTTTTATTTTTGTTGTTTTTAAAGTCCCTATTATGTTTATCTATCATAATGTTTAATGTTGGTGAAAGGACTTTAAAACTTAAAAGATTCCAGCCTGGCCAACATGGCGAAACCCCATCTCTACTAAAAATAAAAAAATTAGCTGGGCATGGTGGTATGCGACTGTAGTCCCAGCTACCTGGGAGGCCGAAGCAGGAGAATCGCTTGAACCCGAGAGGCAGAGGTTACAGTGAGCCAAGATCATGCCACTGCACTCCAGCCTGGACAACAGAGTGAGACTCTGTCTCAAAAAAGTTAAAACATTATATAATCAGTAAATCAGTGTATTTTTATATACTACCTTTATCAAATTTTCACTATTTTTATTTGAAACTCAGAATTGAATACTAATCTTATCCAATTGTCAAGTTTAATTGTAACTTTCTTTGAATGATACAGAATATCTTTAATTTTATCAAGTGTTTAACTGACCACTTTTTATTTATGAATAATAGAGTGTTCTTTTTATGCCTTTTTTTCCTCTGCTTTCCATGGTGTGAAAGCAATACCATTACGTATATTATACCTAAGATATATTTTCATGGAAGCATTCTTTCAGTGGAGTTTTTAGTTTTACAACTGAAAACATCTCTTAAGCTACTAGAATTGCTCATTATCAGTAACTTTTCAATGTCGTAAAGGTGACAAATATCAAAGTCATCTGATAATGGAAACAGGCAAGTTTAATTGCATATTTCTAGACATATAGAATTGCTTGGGTTCTGAATATCTAGTATCTAACTTCTAGAATGTCATTTTTCTTCCATTTTCCTGGAATAATTTAGGAATCACATTTTTATGGAATACTATAAGAATGAATTTCATTTTAGCTTAGCTGTTAATGGTTTCCCATTTACTCATTCCTCTGCATCTCATATAGTCCATACAAACACTGCAGCCTTTCACGCCATTAATTGTCTTCCACATTAAAGTCATTTTTTTTTTTTTTTTTTTTTGAGACGGAGTCTCGCTCTGCCGCCCAGGCTGGAGTGCAGTGGCCGGATCTCAGCTCACTGTAAGCTCCGCCTCCCGGGTTCACGCCATTCTCCTGCCTCAGCCTCCCCAGTAGCTGGGACTACAGGCGCCCGCCACCTCGCCCGGCTAGTTTTTTGTATTTTTTAGTAGAGACGGGGTTTCACCGTGTCAGCCAGGATGGTCTCGATCTCCTGACCTTGTGATCCGCCCGCCTCGGCCTCCCAAAGTGCTGGGATTACAGGCTTGAGCCACCGCGCCCGGCAAAGTCATTTTTTAAGATAGCATTAGTTTGGGGACTTCAGCAATTGTTAATATCACTTTTCCTTATTTTAAATAAATTAAGATAAAGACGCCCATGTGCTAAACCAGTTTGTTGCTGGTGTTTTATTGTCAAAAGTAATTAGTAAGTTGCATCAGTTTTTAAATTAACATAAAAGCATAACTATATACTATTAAGATGATTTTTCACTTATTTGGTTTTTATTAATTCTCCTATGAGATAGGAAGTATATACTTTTCTCTTGTGTTCATT